ATGTAGGCAAGCTTATGTCTCATCACAAGAACTTCAAGTTCTTTAAATTTGAGGTTCCTTTTCTGTAATTAAACAGATTATGTTCAACTATGGCAACAAAAGTTTGCAGTGTTCTTTTCTCTGATCGAGGATTCTTATGTCTTCTGCCAACACCCATGAAAGTGAGAAAGATAATGCTATCAGCTTTTACTGAAGGTAAAATCTCAGATCCTTCACAGTTTTTGAAAATATACATAAATAAAATTAACAGTTGCGCAATTTATCTCATCCAACCTTGCCAAATTCACTTGTCAAATGAGAAGGTTTTTGGTTGACTGCAACCTGTTTCTATACAAACAATCAGGCTGGACACTGAGTAGTTTTATTTCTCTCTGATATGGATGCTTCTTATTTAAAATCATTGCCTTATTATACTCAACAAAACCTCCCATAGAACACTGAATAGACTTAATATAGGTGGACATCCTTGTCTTGTTTCTTATCTTGTGAGGGATTCCAAACAGTCAGCAGTACTTTAGTTCATGAACACATAAGTTTGCAATTTGGTTCACAAACAGAAGCATTTGGCAAAATGTTTTGTTTGCAAACTCTGCAGCAGGTGATAAACATACTGCGGACATCTATTCTGTAAGAACATGAACATGACCTTGTTTTCCAGAATTGCAGCATGAATTCAGTTTGCGGACCGAATTGCCATTGTATTAAACATTTTATATTTTGGGTGCCCATAAATATACATCCTTGTAAATAAAGCTTTATCCTAGCTTAAATGATTTGAACCCTTCACACCTTACTCTGCATATTTGTTAGGCAGGATCGAGGTAGTGCTCATGCTAGGTTAATATTCCTCACTGCTGCAGCAAGACCTCTTGGTTCTCTGTCCAGTGCTCAGGAACATGTGGCTGGGGGAATCAGGTCCTGCTGGTCCTCACTGGTCCTTTTATTTCTGGTGAGTGTGTCTCTAGATTGCAGTCTCCTTAAACCCTCCCTGAACAGTGCTCTCCCCACTTTACAGGGTCTGTCTCTCAATCTCAAAGCCCCCACGCTGTTCCTCACTCTCTTCTCCACATTACTTTGTCCTGCACACTACGGCCACCTGCTTTCCTTGAAGCCTCAGCTGTTCCCTCAGTTGAGAGAGACGTCTGCGTTCTGTCTGGATTCCCAGACCTTGTGCTATGGCCTGGAAAGCCCATCTAGACTGGAAATTGCAGAAGTTGCAGGACTCGTCTTTTCTGTTTTTTGAGTCTGATTTGTGCTTCTTGATAGCTAAGGTCTTTTATTTAATTTTTGCCCTTTCAGAGGCAATGCTCAATCTGATCTTTATTAAAGCCTTGTGGATTAAAAACAAAAGCCACCTTCATGCATGTATTTGGATACATTGTCTTTACAGACCAAAAAACAATGAGCTTATGTTAAGAACACAGAACTGAGCTGGGAATGGTGGTGCACACTTGTAATCCCAGCGCTTAGGAGGCTGAAGCAGGAGATTCCCATGAGTTTCAAGCCAGGCAAAGCTACATAATGAGTTCAAGGCCAGCCTGAACTATATAGCAAATGCAGAAAGAACATATAATTGTGGGTGTGTGCGTATATATATATATATATATATATATATATATATATATATGTTAAGTTGCCTAAGTTTTCATGTTTTTATAATTTATGGACTAACTCTCAGTGCATATAATATAGATGTGCAAATATAATTCTGCTTAAAATTCAAACAATTGTTCAAACTGCAGCAAAATATGAAGTAGACTTGTAGACACAGTTTACTCAATCTTTGTGTATACTATTGTAGGTACTGTCTGAGACAGAGGTCTGTGACAACCAAACTATGACACATTGCCTGGCTTTTTAGTTTAGCCTCTAACCTAAGGTCAAAGTTTGCACTTGTGAAAAGTTAAACAAGCACATAACTGGATGTGGTAGCACATTATTGTAACCTTAAATTTCTGGGAGGCTGAGGTAGGGAGATTTCCAAGATTGAGGCCAGTCTGGACAAAGTGGTAACTTAGAAAGACCTTGCTTAAAAAATTAAATAATAAACAAATAAATAAGTGAATGAGTTAGGGATGCAGCTCAGTGCAAATTTGAGACTTAATCCAAAGAATTAAAGATTATAATGAGCTACAAAATCTAAAAGTTTTTATTTGCTAGTTACAAAAGTTTTTCAAATATTAGTCTTAAGATATTAGGAATATTAAAATACAAATGAGAGGAAAAAAAGGAACAAGAATATCTTTTCATTCTACTAGTAAAATTATACCAGGGGCTGATACACTAGTGAAAGGATACATGAGCATTCATGGAGGAGATATCTTGTGTAGTTCACCAGGTGGCGTGCAGAAAATCACAATAAAGAAGGACTCTGGACTGTTAGAAAGGGGGCAGGTTCCTCCCAACACTCAGGGTAAATGGGATGTCAGTCTTAGGAACACAGTTTTCCGAATTTTTGAATTGTGTTTTTTTAAATGATAAAGGCCACGCAAAGAGCTGTCAAGGAGAAACAGTCATTTTGATTGTGGTGACCGTAAGGACACGGAGTGGTGTCTCATTGGAAGCCTGTGGCTCTGGGACTCCTACTTCTTCTCCTGTCTGTGTTAAGTAGGGAGTAGGTGGGAAAGGTTATTTTATAGAAAATACCTTGAGCTTCTGGCTCCCTCTGCATAGCAGTGGGGCTTAGAGCAGGAGAGCACCGTCCTAGTGAGCCTTGTAGGGTTTATTAAAGAGTGGTGGTGAAAGTGAACTGTAAGGAGGAACCAGCAGAGGATGCCCCTGCAAAGACAAAAGTTCTAAGGCTGGACGTTTCCTGATGCCAACATCGCTATCAGAAGAGACCAGGACATGAACAATATTCTAGAAATTAAGTAATTCTGTGATAAGCAACTAAGTTATTACTATTGTTAGCACCATCAAAAAATCACCATACTAAATCAAATCAGTATTTGACACTTTTTCATTAAATGAATGTTGAGCTCCTCCTATGCATGGAGTAGTGTTTGAGAACCGAAAATATAGCAATGTCAAAAAATGCAAACAGGATCCATCACTGAGGGAGACTGCATTTGAATTGGTGGGCAACTTTGAATGTTTTTGACAAGCACTGTTTGCCAGTTGGGAAGTTATTACTTAAACAAGGAGGGATGGCAGATTCTGAGGTCATGCTATTCTCCTGGCTGTTGAGAGACAAAAAACAAAAACCGAAAAACAGCCATTCCACAAGTGAAGGAGGCCCTGAGGCATTCAAGAGCTGTCACACTGTCACACCACCAACTTTGACTGTGGCAGTTTCTCCTCAGGCAGTTTTGTCAGAGCCCTACACTGATCTGGGGATGAGAAGGGACTTCCCTCCTATTTTCTGCTGCTATTTCTGGGACCAAAGAAGGTGTTAGGAAAAGAAATGTCTCTCCTGATATTCTCCTGAGAGTCACAGCCTTTAGGTGGCACCCTTACGTTGTCCATAGTGGTATATACTACATGCCCCTCTGCTGATGCCTTTATTTTAGAACAGCAGGAGGGCGATGGTATTAGTTGCAGTCTTCACAGCAATGGCTGTTATTTATTGAAAGCATACATATGCCAAATATTTGACATGTAGTAATAATTCAGACCTCAAAATAATCCCGAGTAGGGGAATAATACAAACCTCATTTTGCACATGAGGAAGCTGAGGTAAATGGAACTGCTTTTTGCCCAGTTCGTGTAGCCCATATAAGTATTCAAAGCTGGTGATATGACTTCAAAACCTAGATAATCTTATAATGCACGTATTATTCTCTTTTTTTCAAGAAACAATCTGTATAGATGGAATGCATTTCAAGCATGCAATTTCATTTTAATGGATAGTTTGAACTTCTTATTAAATTGTTTTTCCAAATTGTATTTTTACTACCCTCATTGTTAGCACAGATTCTTCTAGTATGATCCTAAGAGGCTTAGTTATTTGGTATAAGGTTCACTTTCCTTCCCTCAAACTGTGTCTTCATTTAAGCTTATTTTCAGCCCTTTGGCTCTTGGAGAAGAATTCACTTTCTCGTTCTCTGCAGCTTCAGTTCAGATACGGTCTCCTCAGTTCCCTCAGCTCTCCAGCACCTTCTGTTTCTTATCCTTGCATTTACCTTGCGATGTCACAGATATAAGGCTTATTGTTTTGTATATTAGCCAGTTTTAAGGATAGAGGAAAAGGCCTTTTGAAGTTCATTTGATTTTGGATAATCTTCCTTTTGCATGCTGGGCACTTGTTCTATTAAATTTTGTCACTCAGATAAATAATAGACAATAAATGTCATGATACTGATAATTGTATGCATTGTTTTTCTTGTGTCTCTTGACTTTGTGAGTACTTTGTTAGTGTACTGTAAACTATTTCATAAACTGATGACATCAGATTGGATTTTGATGATTACATATGAAATTAAATTGTGAAATAGACTTTACTGAACAAAAATGGTAATCACCTCTACATACTATAAAATCAAATAAAAAATTCAAAACAGATTTAGAGTAGCAAGACATGACTATCTACTTACTTTGAGTAACTAGGAAGCCAATTATAAATGTTCCAAAACAGAGTATTATCTAAATACTGTGTTCTCATGACTCATGTATCATGAATGCAAGTATTCAAAATTGGTGGTATAACTTTAGAACCTACATAATCTTATAATTAAGGTATTACTCTAACTCTTCTTTCAAGAAACAATCTGTAATGATAGAATACATTCCAAGTGTGCAATTTCATTTTAATGGGTAGTTTGAAGTTTACCATTTTCTAAATTCTAAGTCATGTGTAATGACTTATACATGAGAATATATGAAAAAAACAAATAAAAATTTAAAATTATTTATATTTATATTTGTATAATTGATATATGGTTTCTTTTACAAAATTCATTCTCTAATCTTACTCAAGAGGTCTTACCTAATTACCTATATGCATGCTTCAGGGCTTTCGAAAAAACAATCAAAATATATTCAGATGTACAAAAGAGCCTTACCCTTAAAGAAGACAAAATTTCCATCACTGTTTTCATATACTGCATCAATACTAGGGGGCAAGCCCCGCCAGAAATAAGTGATTTGCATGGGGTATCCATCCATCACCCTGTTGTTTCTCACTCGCCAAAACCACTGATCCTGCAAATGGAGCAAAACCATCAGTCAGCAGACACGCAGCCACTGCACCAACTCACTGTGCCGGAGTTGGCTAGACAATTTCAAAGTTAAGCAGAAAAAGGGCTCAATAATTTGAAAGTCATGGTCACAAAAATTTCTGTAATAAACAACTCCCCAATCTTTAAACCATACAGAGTGATTAAAAACATAATGTCAAAGTATGTAATCCAGCCAGTTGAGTTATCCCCAAGGCTTTCTGCATGGAAAACAAATCCTCCCAGAAGTGAGGATGCAAGTCAGCTTCCTAAATATAAGAAAAGCACTGTGGCCACCTATGTATGCATCCTAGCACTTTGCACATGTAAAATCTTCACACCTAAAATGTTGGGGATTAACGAGGGAGGTAATACCTCTACTATTCCCATGTTACATTTGCTTCCATGTGTGGTCATAAACAGGGTACATTTTAAGTCATTAAATGTGTCCTGGTTTACTCAGTAATGTTTATCTAAATGATCAAATTTATCTTGAAAAATAAATCATCACCTTATCCTTTATTTCTGTCAGTCATTCTACAAGTCACTTATGTTTTCTTATTTTTAGGAAGTAAAACGTGGCTTAGCCTATTGTGTTTATAAAGTTGTTGAATTATTAATTTGCCTATCTGTATATCAATATAAATACCTACTAATGGAATAAAAGCAGCTGACTGACCAACTAATCAGACAAACAAAAATGAAACACAAAACTTAAAAAAATACCCAAAATGTAACTGATTCCTTAGATAATTTCCTGTTAAATATTTCAGAATAAAGTAAGATGTATTTAAAGCACTTTAATGTTAAAACACAAAGCATATTTAAAATACAATATATCACATTTTACTTTAAATGTCATTTCAAATTTATATACAAACTATTTCACATAAAAGTTAGATAGACAAGTATGACTTATGAACACTCTAAATTCTCTGTTCTCTTTCTCTCTTATTCTAATTTAGATTATAATAAATGATGCACTAGAGAGTTTTCCTGTGTTTTTCACTAAGAATAGGCTAGCCTCACTGAACTTCCTAGGGTTTATCAGTTATCCACATATTCACATACGCAGACACAAAATCTACTGAGGATTCATGGGTTTCAGGCAATATGATAAAACAAAGTCCTTCCTAAACAAATCTATCAGTTACCATGGGGTGTGTCTACTGATCCCTGTCATTTAGATAAAAAGAAGTTTAATTAAGCACTCTAGTTCATAGTTCATGTTCTGTTCTTGATCTGTTCTCTAGTATCTGTGTCACCTTCGTCAAGAGACTCGTCCCTGAATTAATTAAAATCTAATATCTAACTCATATCATGATTGCCACTGTAATAAATATAGTGGACTTTTGGGGATGAAGCAAATAGTAGCACTCATATTTCTTATTTTTGTTTCTTTGGGATTATAGTGAAACTATCTAAACTACACTTTATACTTAAGTTTGTATTTACAGTTTTATCTTGTTCATTGTTTACTTTTCGGAATCCAGTCATATCGATCTTTCCCCTCAAGATTTTACATTAACTTTTTCTGATAATCATCATTCTATGCAGCAGCTTGAATTAGTAAAGATCTTACCAATATGCCGTAGAAAAACTGAATCAATTTTAAAATACAAAATTATTGTATTTCATGAGTTGTGATCAGGGAAAATACATGTGGGCATAGAGATCAGAAATTTACTGGTAAAGAATGTGAGCAAATAATGATTTGATCATATTAAGAAAAGAAGTACTTTTTTGTCTAGATACAATAGAGGCTTTTTATTAGAAAGAAGACCATTCAAATCCCTGAATAAACCATATTTATTAAATTATTTTAATATGTCTATGAAGTAATAAACTGACTAAGTGGCTACAAGACTTTTATAAAGAAAAACTGGTCATTATTTACAGAAGAACGACAGAGAATCTCTTCTAGAAGACTATGATGTTATCTTTGAATCATGGAGGAAAAACATATCTGTTTTCATCCTCTCAAACACTGTTAAGTTTTATTTGATTTTAGATGTGAAGGGAAGGGAAAAGGGACAATCTCTGTGCAGTTCAAAACCTGCTATTTATTATTGCAAACTAAGTAGAAGGAGAAAAACTACAGTAAATGATAATAATAACAGCAAAGTAAACTCATGAAAACAAAATATGCCTTTAAGATGACCAAACAGTGAATTTGTACTCAAATATGAATATGTCACTTACATTAAAAGCATTTATGGTCTTCTCATTCCATGTAGCATAAAACCTATAAATACCATTTTGTTCTCAGCGATAAGTCCACACAGTACTTTATTGTACACACAAGTGATCAGTTACATAGATGAGAAATTCAGGTTACTTTTTTATTTCTTTTAAAATTCTGGTTCATAACAGGCATAGTATTTACTGAGAATTAAATGAAAAGAGTGTTCTGATACATTTGAAGATGAAATGATAATGTCATTGATATATCATCATAGAGGATGCTTTATTCTGGACTAGTGTAAAATATCCATAAGAACTAATCACTTCCACTCTTTCTGATCCTTAGAGTAACCATGTGATTTATAACTTATCTCAAAGCAGTTTCCAGATGTCACAATTCATTTTGGGACCCTACCCTGAATAGCCACCTTGGCCTTGACCTAACTTTCCATTTCTGAAATAGCATCTTCTAAATTTTAGTGACCATCTCATCCTGAGTTGCCACTGTTTTTCACAGAGATGAACACAATGCTTCCTCAAGGCCTCTGAGTTGCCCCTACTCCACCTAGAATGAGACTCAAACTTGGACCTCTTCTGCAGTTCCCACTTGGTTCCTTGCATTCTCTAGTATGCTCATGGTGCCCCAACTACATTAGCTTTCTTGTGGCTTCTTGACAGAGTAAAAGCTCTTTACTTCTTCTGCTGGAGTCTGCTGTACTTTGAATGTTCAGTGGTCATCTCCTTTCTCACAATTTTCTCCTAATGAACCACAGTGGATCTTTTCATCCTCAGCTAGAATATTAGCATTAAATTCAAATGCTGAAATCCTAACCCACAAAAGAGGAGGTGCTGTGAGGGATAGTTACTTCTTCTTGAGGATTTAGCCACCACCAATCTAATTAGTGCCCTTATAAAGGAGGCTTCAAGGAGATTGCTTCTGGCTCCTCCTTCATAAGAACACAGCTAGAAGTGGCCATTTATAGAAAAGGGACTCTTATCAGATACAGAACTGTGAGAAGTAAGTTTCTGCTGTTTATAAACCACCTGGTTTATGTTTTTGTTCCAGTAGCCTTCAGAAGCTAAGATACACTGTTAAACCATTTTGCAGTAATTTCTATGATCATTTCCTAGCCCTTATGGAATCTGTGTATGCATCTATAAATTTGTATATGTGTGACTTAATAATGATGTCCTTCTGCTTCATCACCTTATATGCCACACAGGAAAAAGGACAGTATGTTTCTGTTTATCACTGAACTGTCACCATTGAGGCATTAACAACTGTGCTGGGCATTATAGGAGCCCAATATATATTTAACATACAAATTATATTTTCACCACACCAACACCAGATGAAAAACACTATATCTGAAATTAGTCAAGCCAGGAAACTGTTTAATTAGGGTACCAACTTATTTAATAAAATGACATACTAATCAGAGGACCTCACTGACTGTGAAAAAAACAAAGAAAGGAAAATTATTCATGTACATAAACACAGATTTTGAACACAAGCAACTATGAGGTATTTTCGAGGATTTGTAATGTGTCAAGGAGAAATCAGGTATGTAACAATGGTGGAAGCAGAAATGCTATAGCTATACGCATAAGGAGAAAGCAATTTGTATGACTGCTTAAAAGGTAGTGGAAGAAATGCAGTACCCTAACTCTACTCTGAGTTCTCTGGGAGCAGAAGGAGATGTCTGCAGCTTCTGTCTGGGTGCTCTCTCCACCAGGACCTACCCTGAGGAGCCAGAATCCTCAGGAGCTAAGTTTTGGAGGCAGTAGGGCATGAGCCACCACAGAGATCTGGGAAGGAGGTGAGGAGATAGCAAGGAGATGGTGCTGAAGATTTGTTCCTCCGAATTATTAAAAAGAAAAGGCAGTAACTTAGGGCATTTAAACTGTTTTGGAATTTATAAGCAAGCCAACAGTACCTGATTTTCTTAAAAATTAATCATATCACATGAAACCATTTGTTTTGTGATGTGGTTAAATGAAAAAAACACCTATTTTTTAAAAAAGCATAAATAAAACCACTGCAAAAAGTAGGACAAAGAAGAAAATACTTGCATTCTTTATCACAAAGGCTCAAACTTTAATATATAAAGAGTTCTTAAATATCAAGAAAAAAATCCCAATCTTATAAAAATAAGTAAGGGACAAACAGAGAATGTTAACAGAAAGAAAAAGGTTTATAAGCACTGGAAAAGATGCCCTTACTTTGGTATAGCAAGTCTTATCCAATTTCCTTTAATGTGGCTTATAGAAATAGACACCTTCCTGCATTCTTGGTAGGTATGCAGAATGGCACACCGACTATGAAGATCAGCATGAATATCAAATAATATTCCACACGCACCGTATTTGTTACTGTACCTATTCTTCTTCTAGCAATTTATTCCAAAGGAACATATATGCTCTCAAATGGAAAACTACAATGCACTAAAATATAATGTAAAATCATATAATATGATACAACAGAAATGAATTCACATAAGGTCTTTTATTATGGTATCACCTTCAGTTTGACAGTTTTGCTGTCTCTAAAAAAGAGGATGAGAAAAAGAACTTGTATGTGCACTAACATGGTTATACAGATTTAGATCAAAACACAGATAAAGTGGAGACATTGTTTATGTTTGCATTTGTACATATATATGTTAGGAATGCCAACACTTGTTAAATATAGACTCTAGGTGTGAAATGTTCATTCTTGCAAATTTTCTGTCTCTATGAAAATTTTTGAAAACTTAAAATAGGCTCATTAAAATACCTGGAAACAATTACTTATCTTCTGAT